TCTCACCACAAAATTTAGGTATCCCCTAGCCTGCTCCATTAACTCCTGGGTGCTACTGCCCAAACATACCATCTCCCAGGATGGGGAGCCCTTCTTTCCCTCATCTAGCCCCCATGTTGCCCAACAACCCCTCGATTGGGGGATGGGGGCAACACAGCGTACATTATAAGTTCCTTTCTAGGACCACTTCTGACTTGATAAAAGGCAGCTATATATGTTCATTCACACACATCATATTGGACGAGCCCAATGCCCATTGGCAGAGCAGGGTGGAAGAGTGCAGAAATCTAAGTTTAGAGTGATGTGTACAGATTCCCCTGCAGTCTATTCCTCAGGAAATCTGATAATTTGCTGCTGAACTTTGAAAAATAAGAAGACCCAACTTTTCTAGTGGAGAACAGCAATTTTCCAATTAGGGTTTCAGGGGATGCACCCCTCAACACAAACGAAGTATTTGGCAACTATATCCTCAGAGATATCCAAATCAGTGCACTTTAGAATGGTTCATTCCACCATCTTGAATCAAAATGCCATCCAACAGTTTCCAAGCAGAGATGAAAACCAGCTCCTCCATATCAGGAGGTGATGTGCAAATTGGGCAGTGATATCTCAAGAGGCGTCCAAATGCATACAGAACTAGCAGAAAGACAAACAGCTTTCCGAAACAGAGAGCAGAAGAAAAAACTATTGTAATCCAATAGTGTACAATAGTGGGTTAAGCAAGTTCATAGCCCAGCCCATGAAGGGCTTGAGAGGTCACTGACTGCAAGGCACAAACTCTTGGAAAACACTTAAGTTTTTTACAATCCACTCCCAAACCTTTCTTGCATTTCTACCCCTTGCTCTTCACCAACAATATTTGAGCAACAATCACACACACACAAGCAATACATATGCAGCAGCCTAAATCCTTAGGGACCAACCACATCTTCAGGTCCCAGAAGAATTCCTAAAGAGAGTGGCAGCAGCAGTGACTTGGGTGGGGAGAGAGGAAACTCTCCCAGGGAACCGTCTCTTGCTGAACTCAAGGGCTCAAGGCAGAAACAATAGCCGTATTGTGCCAGAGCCAGGGAGCTCAGGACGTGCCAGGATTTCTGTTCAAGGGAATGTGAAAAGAGGCTCTCGTTCACTCTTGCTCTTTTGTTTCCACACAATCAAGTACCGCAGATGAATTTTAGCTAACAATTTCAATCAAAGCTCAACCCCAGAACCTGTTCTAAATGTTGGGGCTCAGTCCCAGAAGAAATCAAGTAGAAAAGCTAATTAAGAAAGCTGTTACCAAGCTACCCTGCTTCACTGCCACCCTGAGCGTGGTTCCGTAGCTAACAACAACAACAACAAAACAACAACAACAACAACAATAATAATAATAATAATAAGGTAAAGGTAAAGGTACCCCTGCCCGTACAGGCCAGTCTTGACAGACTCTAGGGTTGTGCGCCCATCTCACTCAAGAGGCCGGGGGCCAGCGCTGTCCGGAGACACTTCTGGGTCACGTGGCCAGCGTGACGAAGCTACTCTGGCGAGCCAGAGCCGCACACGGAAACACCGTTTACCTTCCCGCTAGTAAGCGGTCCCTATTTATCTACTTGCACCCGGGGGTGCTTTCGAACTGCTAGGTTGGCAGGCGCTGGGACCGAGCAACGGGAGCGCACCCCGCCGCGGGGATTCGAACCGCCGACCTTTCGATCGGCAAGTCCTAGGTGCTGAGGCTTTAACCCACAGCGCCACCTGCGTCCCAATAATAATAATAATAATACTCTATCCAGCTGACTGGGTTGCCCTAGCAATTCCAGGCAGCTTCCAGCAAATTATAAAACTTACCGTGGTTTTATTACATTTAAAAATTCACTATACAGGACTGCCTTCAGATGTCTTATAAAAGTCAGATTGTAGTTTATTTCCTTGACATGATGTGAGGGCGCCACTACTGAGAAGGCCCTCTGCCTGGTTCCCTGTAACCTCACTTCTCACAGTGGAACTTAGTAAGCTGCCTGACCAAATCAGGTCATTGGATCACAGAGGTCTCCATTATCTCCATCACCAAGGAGAAGCCGCAGCCCTCTGGAGAGAACGAAAGCACCCTCCTGAAGGGTGGTCAAGACTCAAAGGTCCTTAGTGGAGAAATCGCAGGCCCCTGAGCTGAATGTGTCTGGACAGGGTGATGGACTAGCTGGAACTTTGAATCCAATTTACGATAGCCATCTTCAACTATCTAAAGGGCTGCCACATAGAAGATGAAGCAAGCTTGTTTTCCGCTGCTGCAAAAGGTAGGGTCCAAACCAATGGGTTCAAGTTGCAATAAAAAAGATTCCAGCTAAACATCAGGAACTTTCGGACAGCAAGAGCTGTTCTACAGCAAAACAGACTCCCAAGGGTGGTGGACTCTCCCTCACTGGAGGCTTTTAAGCAGAGGTTGGCTGGCCATCTGTCATGGATGCTTTAGCTGAGATTCCTGCATTGCAGGGGGTTGAACTAGATGACCCTCAGGCAGTGGCGTAGCGTGGGTTGCCAATGCCTGGAGCAAGGCAAATATTATGCCACCAATCCATGGTTCCTGTCAGGACCGGGTGGCAGCAGCGTTGGTTGTGGGAAAGGGTCTTCCTTGCAGGGAGAGGGAAGCTGGGGAGGGGATAGCAGTGACAGCCATTTATTTTATTACGTGTTATTATTTATTTCATGAAATTGTACACCGCTTGTTAAAAAACAAACAAACCACCAGTTGATTTTTCTTCTGAAATTTTATACCCCATCCCAATTTTGCTCCTGGGGCAACAGCCCCTCTGCCCCTTCCATGCTATGCCACTGCCCTCAGGATCCCATACAGCTCTACAATTCTATGATTCAAATCATAAGAGCTTCTAATCTCCTGATTCAGGAAGGCAATTCATATCTTCCTCTTCTGCTTGACCCTCACATCCAATGAACATTGTGACCCCTTTGGAACCTCAAAACCAGAGGTAGCTTCAGGTCAGAGTGTGTGTTTGAGATCTAGTTAATCAGTTCCATCCAGCTTAAAACAGGGCGGTTGTTTTTTTAAGAAAGTCCATGCACATATTTGGCTGCTGCTTCTTTTGTGCCTCCTGCTGTTCTGAGAATTGTTTTGCCAAAACTCACAATGTTGCATTTGTGAACATATCCCTACTATGCAGGGAAAACAGCATCAGTGTTTACACAAACCTGGTGGCCACTTTTCTTTATAGCCTCTAGCAACACCTCTAGGATTGCATCAGCTTTTTGTAAGCAGTATCTTACAGCTTCAGATGGATGAACAGTGCAGGGGTTGGCGATTATACATGCATAGGTATATATTAAGACAACACTGAGCATTTATAACACGTTCAAAGTGCTCAGTTCTTCATGTGCACTTAGTATCTTAGTAATTGTTACAATAGCCCTGCAAGATAGGCCAGTGTTGTTATCCCACCCAACAACACTGGCCTATCTTGCAGGGCTATTGAGAATCTAGGGTAAACCAAGACACTCAGGCCTTTGAAGAGGGTTTTGCAAGATAGGAGATGGAACCAAGTGAATTTTCACTGCGGGAGAATGGACAGTCTTCATCTACACAGCCTGCAAGGCCTCCACTGAAATGCCTTTTAGGACACATATGACTCCATTTTCCCAACAGCAAATGTGCAAACAAGGCTGCAAAAGGTCTGTGAGAAATCTGTGAAGTTAGCTTATCTGAACCATCATTATATATCTGATCTGATAATGAAGTTATCCCTCAGGAAGAGGGAGACTTGAAAGTTCACAGGGGTCGCATGGGAAAATTCCACAATTGACAAATAGAACAAGCAAACACAGGACCATCAGGGTCAGTGCAAAATGTGCTTGGGACACATTTCAGAGGTGTTGCACATGGATGGGGGTTGCTTCCTCAGATGAGGCAACTCAAAGCTTTATTTGAAGGTGGAAAATTCCCAGGAAAAAATGTATTTACAGACCTGGCTTTCAGGAAATACAAACTTCAAAGCAGTCTTTATTTTGTTGAGACAAACTGATTGGTCAGTTAGAAAAAAAATTACAGTGAAGATCCCATTTTTGAGAAGGGCAGAAGGGCAGGGAAGAGAATAGAAAAGTTTAGGAAAATTCCTTTCATTTGCTATCTGACACTATGCAGCTGGCTGATTAGTCAATGCCACCCCAGGCCCATCAGGACAGTCAAATTTGGATCTGAACAAACTGGATCCATAAAGGCAAATATGGACAGTAGCATGGAACTTCAACTTCCTGTGTCTGAGCAGCAAATGAGTCTTAATTTGCACTGGAAGATTCCCACTTAACTGGAAACTTTACTGTGCAATCCTATACATGCCAACTCTGAAGAAGTAAGTTAAGAATGTAAGAAGAGCCCTGCTGGATCAGGGCAAAATTCCATGTAGTCTAGCACCCTACTCTCAGTGGCCAATGAGAAGGCTTATTCCCCCCCCCCATAAAATTCATACACCACATAATTGTAAAAACAACCCTAAAAGTGGTTTATAAAGATAAAACAAGGAAATCAAGGAAAATTCAGATTCATACCTGCTTGATCTCAATAAGCAGGGAAAGGGAAGCCTGCAAACACAATCTGAGTGAAATGGCAGCACTCTTCCTATTAGTGATACATTGGAGATAGAACACAGCCATAATGGCTAGTAACCATTGGTAGCCTTATCCCCCATGGATTTTTCAAGTTGTCTCTTAAAGTATTATTTTTGAGGTGAGGTAACCAGAACTGTACACAGTATTTAAACTGTGGTCTCATCACAGATTTGTATGACATCATGATACTGTCTTATTTTTCTATCTCTTGGCTAATGAATTCCTAGCAACAGAATTCACCTTTTTCATAATTGCTGCACGCTCATCTGCTTAAATGGGACTTTCTTCCAGGTAAAGGTAAACAGGACTGCAGCCTTAAAATCCCAGTAGACTTTGTGGCCATGCAGGCCATCTCAGCAGAAACTCAGAATTCATCATTATTGAAACAAGTCCAAAAACTCCCCAAAACATGCGAAAATCAATAGGATTTTATTGACACATTCTGCCAGAAAACTCACTGAAATGTATAAAGTGGATGTTTCTTAGGTAATCGGACATACAGTGTATTGCACTGATTTGTTAACTAACAGAATAATTGCTTCAACATACAGGATGTTCACAATGTTACAGACACACACACACACACAAATCCCTCTATTTTAAAGTTTAATAAAAAATAGAGAATTGGGCATGGGAAATGAAGTGATTTGTGCCAGTCCTAAGTGATTTAATGTGCCTCATCTTGATGCATCTTTTCAGAATTACTTTCTGCAGTTATGTTAGTTAAACCACACAAATGGAGGAAATCATGAATGCTTATTAAATAACAACAATAAAATCCTCACATTCTGTTTCACTGCATAATCCTGGAGTGCTTAACAAATGTTAATGACACTAACTCTTCTTTAGAGCTCATCCCAACGCCATTTATAACCCTTCACCAACCAGATGCCCTCCCAGCTGTTCTGGACTACAACTGCCATCAGCCTCAGCCAGCATGTGTTTACTGGGGCTGATGGGATCTGTAGTCCAAAACAGCTGCAAGTTTGCAAATACTGGCTTAGCTGATTGCTAAGATAAGTTTGGCTAGGCCAAAACAAAGGGCTGCTTTCTCTAGCAACTGTTTGTGGCACCAGAGGAAGGCCTTGTGAGCTTGACATGCCATAATGATTATGAAAGAATGGATAGGAGTGCATGTGACAAATCTCCCCATAATTAAATACTGCATCGTTCAAGGGTTTAAAGCTCGTGCAACTACCACTGAAGCTTGTGCGTTTCCAACAGGGCCTGCCAGCTCTCTGAATGCATGGCTGTGTTTGAAAAAGGCTGTTTCACAGAGAGCCAGACTAGATGGTTGAACAGTAAGACTTATGATGACTCCCAAGCCTCTCCCCAACACAATCCCAAGTGCTCCTGCAGGATCTGAAGAAATGAGGTCACATTCATAAAGCCCCAGCATACAGTACTTTTAGAAGACAGAGTTTCCATTGTCATACACACATATCAAATTAACTAAAAGACAAATGCTTGTCAATGTAAATCTGCACCGATCAATCAGTGGCTTTACTGAAGGGGAGAAATCTGCAATGGTATCATAATTCTGGATTCCATTTCCTGAATAAGGGGCACTGGAAAGGAGAAAGAAATTGTGTTAGCACTTTTTAAAAAAATGCTAATGTAAGATATTACAAATGAAACATGGGGGGATTTTGTAGCCAACAAAGCATTAGACTAGGAAGCAGGACCGGTTCTAGGATTTGGGGGACCCCAGAGAAAGGGAAGCTCAATGGGGCCATCTTAACCTAGGAGAGGAAAGACAAGTCTCTCACATTAGCAGGTTTTTGGGTAACTGCCACTGCCATACAGGTACTAAACTGTTACAGCAAGGTGTTGATACTTTTTCAAGCAAAGGGTTCCATTTCCAACTTGGCAATTTTCTGGGGGCCATATACTTACGGTGTGTGGACCCAAAGCCAAAAGTGGGCACAGCAACGAATATAAGTTTAATCTTTGTATGGAAGGCAACTTTCTACATATACAGTTGGAGAACAGCCTTTACCAAAGGTGTCATGGGCTTTGAAGACATTCGAACTCAGGACGCAAGGGAGAAATGTGCTAAGAGGAAGGCACGCTTGGCAAATCCACACCATGATCAACTCCTGCCCGGAAACCAATGTCCCCACTGTGGAAGGACGTGTGGATCCAGAATCGGCCTCCACAGTCACTTACGGACTCATTTTAAAAACCGTTTTTATGGAAGACAATCTTACTCGGCTATGAGTGATTGCCAAAGAAGAAGAAGGCAATTTTCTACATATACATGCCCCTCTTCACCCTCTATTCAGGCAATCAAGTGTCAAGACCACATTCCAGTCAGGCAAAAACACTCCAAGGTAGTAGGACTGGTGAGGTGTGTGACTCTTAGCACATTTCTCCCTTGCGTCCTGAGTGTGGCCTGGGGAGAGTTCCGAGGACTGTGTTTGGTCCTTAAGCCTGAGGATCACCACCCCATCTTACCTGTATAGTATACCAGCTCATCCCAACCAGGCTTGTGCCATGCGGCGTTCCTGATATCTTCTCTTGTCTGGAGATCTTTGTACGCTGGAAATGTTGGGGGGGGGATAATTTGGAACTATCAGTGTCTTGACATCCATCAGCACCTTTCTCTCAAATACAGCAACATACAATAAACAAAGCACCAGAGGGCAAACCTCCTTAAAACCCTAAACTGTTATTTACTGCCATAGCTCTATCCATCCTGCTCTAAGGAGCCTTGGAAACTGTACTGCTATGAGGAGGCAAGGGTCATATCAGTTTCACAAAATTGCTTGTCCTGTTGGAATGGAGAGCAGATTAAAAGGGAGATAGGAAGCTATCTTAATTCGAGTTAGATCAGTGGTCCACCTATGCTTAATATTTCAACACTGGGATATAGTATTGTCCAGGGTTTTAGGTAGTGGGATTTCATGTTCCCTACCTGGAGTTGCTAGGGACTGAACCTGAGACCTTTTGCATACAAAACAGGTGCTCTGCCACAGAGCTACAGTCCTTCCCCAGATTTCTCAGGTCCAGGATGACCTACCCCAAAGGTGATGAACCATGTAAAGCTGCCCAATCTGTGAGAAAAAGCCACCAACAGCTTCTTTGTCATCCTGCCGGAAACCAATGGCACGAGCCCTGGAAGGTAGAATATATATGTATTACAAACAAGACATGAGTGCTGGGGCTGAGACAATTACAAAGGTAACTATCAGATGGAACAGTACTAGAAAGAATGCAGCAAGGATCTACTAATTCCATCACTGCACAACATTGGTATTCAGAGCTAGAGAAATATTTCAGAGGGCTAGAAGCCTGCACGAATTCTTAATATTACAGCATCTGCTATAACTTCACACCAAGGGTAAAGATAGCCCACGTTGGCCCACAGGGAAAATGTGAAAAGGACATTCAAAGTTTAGGCCAATAATAATATCACAAAAAATATTACAAGCTTTTGAGTTTCCCTAAAACTCTTTATCAGGCTAGATGGTAAACAAAGTAACAGAAAGAAATTATGATGGTAATGCCATGTGTCTGCATTTGGTGATAATCTTAAAGACAAAATTTGAGACGTAGGCAGGCATTTAAATGAGACCCTTTAGGTGCTGTGGAAGTATCAGGCACTACTTTCCACCTCTGTCAACATAAAAGACTGATTAGTTTCTCTTTATTACTGTTTTCCACCTATCAACGGTCCTGTGCATTTCACCTAAGGATAGAGACAGATGTGGACAATGGCCACTTCTTCTGTTTCCAGAGATGGGGAGTCAGACATTGTTATGCTTTATGTTTCCAGCAGGCTTTGTTGCAACTTGCTCTCTCTCAGCAGATGCAGACTCAATTAGTTATCATCAGTCAAAATTTCTGGTGAATTCTCCATTAGATGGTAAATAAAACTTGACTAATGGCCACCACTGTCTGAAAAGAACTTATCAGAGATTATATTATCAGTCATGCTCATTGGGAGGCATATCCTCTGCCCACCCCACCATTTATTCCTGAAAAGGTGGAATACTGTTTTGTTTCTCCAGAGTGCAACTCTGAAATTTTATTTTCCCATGCATAGGGTGTTCTCTGCCTCCTGGGTGTTCACTGTCTGTATGTGTCAACAAACCCAGTTAATCAAACAACGGGCAAGATCGCTGAACAGGAGGACATGACCCTAAACTGGAGTTCTAGTGCATCAACTTGCCCATCTACTATGAAAAAGTCCTTTGAATGGGTATGGTATTTCAACAACAGCCCTCTCCAGGGTCGAGCTCCAGGAAAAATGAGCTTTGCAGGTTTTCAGAAGAAGTCAGCTGCGCACCGTGCCAACTGGATGGCTGCTGTGACATCATGAACCCACCTCACCCCTCATCCCCAGTGATTTGAAAAACTTAAAAAAACCACCCAGATTCTGTGCCTTTTTAAAAAAGGCACAGAATTATTGTTAAACTGTATGAAGGCACATGTGCTGCTTTAAAAAATAATAATAAAAAGGAAGAGGCAAGTCTGATGACTGAAAGTGCACTGGAATAACTGGCAAGTATGTTTTTATTGCTAGGAAGGCAGGCTCACCGCACGGGAGATAAAAAGGGGCAACTATTGTTTTGATGCACATTTGTACACATAGTGCTGGGTGGATATCATGTAACAAATGCAATATCCTGCAGATCAGATGGTGAGCCTCTGGACCATGAGCTGTGCCTAGTTAGTGTACCTTTTTATCTGGCCTGCAGCCTCACCTCTTCTGCCCCACTCCACCCTGTCTTCTGCTCTGCCACAATTTCCTCTTCTGCAGGCTAACACCTTGAATTCAAGCTGGGCCGCAAAGGAAATATCTTCCTTTGCAGATGTGGCTTGAATCCAAACTGCTACTGCAAAGGAAGAAAGAAAAGAATCCAGAGCACACTTTCATCTGTAATCAACACACATGGCAAGTCCAAGTGATTGACAAATGGGCAGCTCTGTCCATCTCTCAAAATGGTATTTGGAATTGAGGGGAGCCCAGCATAGCAAGGGACACTTACCAGTAGTTGCCCCATTCAATCATTGTTCCAGGCTGGGGGGATAAAAGAAATACAGAGCAGGTGACTCTAAGAGAATGACACCCTCCATTCCCTCCCCCGTTGCAATTGGGAAGTAGATGTGGGCTTTCTCTCCTGCCTCCAGAAAGGTTTTTGGATTCTAATCAGTAACAAAAGAGACGACTCAGCCCAAAAGACATGGGGCAATTACGTAATCACTTTAAGACCAGAATTCCCTCAAATACTTTTTTCAATGTCCCAATTTTCATTTCCAGTGCCTGTTGACATTGATAGGGAGCATTTCTGTTAGAAATATGATATATACACTGAATATATATGATAAATACACAATAAGCTTGCTTCTCAGTAAAAACATATAGGATTGCACTGTTAGCAAATGCAACCTTTTCTGTTCAAAAGGCAGAACTTCTAAGAGAAAAAAGGAAAATCACTGAAAAAGAGTTGCAATGTGCTCTCTGTTATCCATTTCTGGCAGGAATCAACCTGCCAACTTGTCTACCAGAAGGATTCGCATAACAAATTTAAAGGCTAGCCTGACAAAGAGTGAATGCAGTCTCGCTCTTAAAGGTCTCATGAACCCAAGGACACACAGAGAGAGAGGGAGGGAGGGAGGGAATGGCTATTCTATGAATACATAAAGACGCTCACACGGAGTTGATAAGACCTCAGTTCATAGATATTAGGCCCTGTCCTCGGAACAGGCTCATTCCAAAAACTGAACTCCAACAGCAGCTGATTCTTGCGGGAGAGAAGCATGTTTCCCCTCTCTCTGCGAAACTCCACAAACCCCTAAAAATAAAATGAAAAATCCTTACAATGACAAGGCAAGATCACATGAATTATTTTTTAAATTATCTAGTTTATGCTTCATCTGTCCGGATATTAAGAGCTTAATACTAGGAGGACATCAAACTTAAAGAGTGTATCCTGGTTTGATACAAAAACTCTGGGAGTCCTTGACAATGCAGTTGTTGTTGCTGTTGTTTGTTTTTTTGCAATAAACTGTTAAGTTTGAGAGGCAAAGTGACTTTTAAGGATCAGGCTGATGAAGTCCAATCTTTTATGCTAGGACTTACCTTATCATGTCGAAGCTTACTCATGACCTCTGTAAGAGCTGGGTAGCCTCCCTCATACCGCCACAGATGAACTGAAATGAAAAGTGGCATATTTAAGAGTCTCCCTTCCCTACTGGAGATTCAAAACGAACTCCTCAAACGTCAGCTTCTTCCTGGCCAAATCTTGTATCCCATTGTCATTTCTAGAACCTAGCTCTTTCTTTCCAATCCTGGTGGGCACCAGCACCCTTTTCCCAGCACACCTTGAGAGTGGTTAGCCCTCTCACTTTCTCTCAGTGCCTAGGAACATGCCTTATACTGAGTCAGATTATTCATCCATCTAGCTCAGTACTGTTTACACTGACTGGTTGCAGCTCGCCAGGATTTATTCACTGGTCACTGTCCTTCCTTAAGCCTATACAGTATAATTTTCTTTCTTCACCAGCAGAAGTCAGAGGCCAAACAAAAAAGATAAATGGGACAATGCCCTGGGGAAGATATCCTACACAAGCCCCACTGAAATTAATGTGTGTGTTTGGGTCGGGGGAGGCAGCAAAGAGTGGCTGTAAACCACCTAGAGGCTTTCTGTTGAGTAAGTAAAGTTTGTAAAAATAAAAAATAAAAGAACCATAGCTCCACCACAAGCCCACTTCCAAAGATTTTACCAGTCAGAGGAAGGCTGCAAACTGTCACCCAGTCACTCAGGCCTTTCTGATACAGAATTTGAGCCAGCATCATCTGCCAAGAAGGTTGCGTGGACCATGAAATTGGCCAGTCCCCTGAAAGAACTGCAAGAAGACCCGTCTGAGACGGGGAGTGTCTAGACTTGGGAGTGGCAACTCTGAATGTGTCTGAACCAGCCTGCCAGCTATGCAAGGGTGTATATACACAGGAGCTGAATATACCATTTGATGGTTCTGCAGTGCCTGGGACTGTGCCAGAGCAGCACCTTTACATTCCCTGCAACCTTGCCTGAAGGACATTCAGGCAAGGTTACATTGGGGACATAAGGATTCTGTTGAGGCTGAGTTTTGATGGAGAAAATGTCCATTTTCTCTGGGAATCTTCCTGGGCTTGTTAGAGGTTCTCTGCTGGTGTTGGTTGTCCACTGTCCCCAGACCTTGCCCCACATCCTGCAGGTTCCCATCCTGGCTGGAAGAGGGCCCCTATCACAAGCACACATCATTAGCGCAGTTGTGCATTCTGTTGTACGTCTTATCTCCTACCAGCCTGATCTTGCTCTCCGTACCACGTGTTCCACGTCCCCACCAGTGTACATGGATATTCCTTCCCTTCGTGGATCTTTGGCAGCACCTCTTGACTTTAAAAAAAGCAGAAGCAAAAAGGAACATAAGTACAGTAGCCATTCCATCAAGCTAAAGGAGAGAAGGCAGATGGGATTGCAGGGCCTCTTGATCGGCTCCAATGGAACGCCAACAACTTTTCCATCTACTTGAAATCTATCCATTCCAGTCTGAATTTGCTTTTTCCTCCTCCCAATTCCTTTTCTTTTTGTGTCATGTCTTTCAGATTTAAGCCTGAGGGCAAGGGCAGTCTTATCACTGACATTCATAAGCTGCTCTGGGAACAATTTTTAGCTGATAAAAATGTTTTTATCAAATAAATAACATTCCCATGTGCTTCCTATGTTATGAGTTACCCAAGTGTCATCTAGTCCAACCCCTTGAAACACAGCAATAACAGCTAAAGAATCCCTGACAGATTGCCATCCACCCTGTTTAAAAACCTCCAATGAAGGAGAGTCCACCACCTTCCAAGGTAGTCTGTTCCATTGTCAAACAGCCAGTGTTCAAAATCTGCCAGGCATGAGGTGCATTTTGCACCTGGCTATCGGCCATTTGCAACCAAGGACCATCTGGAAATGCATGCCTATGGATCTTTCAGTCTTGACTGTTTTCACACACTAGCAACACATCCTGTAGAATTCTATCCATTGTATTTTATCTGCACAATCAGAGCTGTCTGGCCCAAAAATGGCAACTAGGCATTCTGTTTTGATACTGTAATCCTGATTTAATGAGCCATTTTGTGCCTAGCTTAAATATCTGAGTTTCTAACACTGCGAACAGCTCTTACTGCCAGGAAGTTCTTCCTAATGTTTAGTCATTTTCTTGTCATTCGAATCCATCGGTACAGACCCTACCCTCTGCAGCAGCAGAAAACAACCTTGCTCCATCTTCCATGTGACAGCCCTTCAGATATTTGAGGATGACCATCATTTCACCTCTCAGCCTTCTAACCTCCAGACTAAACATACACAGCGCTTCTCATAATGCTTGGTTTCCAGACACTTTATCATATCAGTCACCCTCCTCTGCACCCGTTCCAGCTGGTCAATATCCTTCTTAAATTTATATTGCATAAATTTGTGGTACAGAAATTAACAACAAACCCAAGAGATGCACAAATGTTGGTTGGCTCAACAGCCAGCCGTTTTTTGCTGTGGATGCTAACTTAAGGTTATCAGATGTCCCCGTTTCCTGAGGACAGTCCCCGGATTTACAAATCAGTCCCCTGACAAAATCCATCTATTTAATAGGAAGTTGAAAAGTGTCCCCGGATTCATTGAGAAAAATCTGGTAACCTTATGCTAACTCTTCAGTCTCCCTTGAATAGTCTAGCATATACCTGGTGAAGAGGCAGACTTTTCTCTCATTTGCATAAGGTATGGTATATAAAGGAAGTGAGGGACTGCCAGTGTCTCTACTGAGACTTGGAAGACCCCGCCCACCACCGCTGTGTTCTCTCTTCTCCTAACCACAGCACCAAAAAAACTGCCAGGGTGGCAATGACCTGTGTGCTGCTGGGTAGTTGCCATCAATGAGCTTAAAGAGAGCTTTTAAGTACTGCCATCAAGATGAAAGCCACCATAACAAGATGGGCTTAGCAGCAGGGCAAGCGATATTGTGCCAGATTCACCACTTCCCCAGCCCAGTTAGGATTTCTCTGCCCCTTCCTAATCCTATGCAAGTTTACTCAGAAGTAATTCTCACTGAATCCAGTGACTGTATACTAAGTTTGTATGAGTTTAGTAACTAACAAGGCTCAAGATTTTAACCCACCAAATGTTCCAGCATAGCATTCAGACTTACCAAAGCTTGTTGTAGGATTCTAGGCATTCTGGTTTGACATTGTGAACTGAAACAGGAAAAGTCATCATTAAATGCTGAGAGAAAGAAAAAAAGAAAGACAGACAAGGGAGAAATATAAAAAACAGCAGCTCACACTGTATTTTATAAAGACTGCTGGTCTCCCGTTTGGCTAAGAGGTTGGAGTGAGCATCTTTCCTGGGATCAACTTTGCGGACAAAAAGCGATTTTAACCAGCTGTCTTCTGCGGATCGGCTGTTTGACGACACAAGGCCCCTGCAAGTGAGCAAGACAAACATTGTTCTAGAACTTGTGTAAGCTTCATTCCTGTTTCATTTTTATCAGGACTGAGAAGTAGTGCAGGAAATAGCAGATTCCTGATTAGCCTCCCAGCTTCTGGAAGGTGTTTTCCACATTATCTCTGGAATACACAAGATGCACCTACCTTTAATTCAACCTGACTACATTAATCTTAGTTTACTAATCATAGGAGTTTGAGCTGACTCATCAGTAGATCAACACACCAATCTTATGAAAGTTTAATCAGAATGAAGTCCCATTATTTTCAGCAGGACTTACCCCAAAGTTAATATGCATTGGACTTCAGCCAAAATATTAAAAATGTATATATGATAAAGTAGTCATAAAGAAAACAAAGACAGTATTTTTTAATAGTTGTTGCTTGCCTCCCTGCTTCTCTCATAGACAACCAGGGAGGCCTCATCTTGCCAAGGCCATTTGCTTATACAAGAACTTGTATTATTAGCTAATTTTAAATTTGCCAACCAGTTAATCTGGTGGCATCTTTTTAGTCAATCAAAATATTTTTAATCGAATCATTCAACCAATTATTTGAGTACTAAAAGGTAAAGGTAAAGGACCCCTGGACGGTTAAGTCCAGTCAAAGGCAACTATGGGATTGCGGCGCTCATCTCACTTTCAGGCCAAGGGAGCCAGTGTTTGTCCACAGACATGTGGCCAGCATGACTAAACCGCTTCTGGTGCAATGGAACACCATGACGGAAACCAGAGCAGATGGAAATGCCGTTTACCTTCCCACCACAGCGGTACCTATTTGAGTACAAGGACTGCTTCTACCCATATATTGAGCACCATTGTCCAGTTCTTCTGCCACCACACCCCATACATGTCAGAATCATAAAATTCTAAAGTTGAAAGAGTTATCTAGTCCAACCCCCCTGCAATGTAGGAACATATGCGGATCAAACCTGCAACCTTGGCATTAGCAGCACCATGCTCTAACCAACTGAACTATCCAGGCTGATATATGTAAGTGAGCTCTAGTTCATGAAAGCTTATACCATAATAAAAGTTTGTCAGACTTTAAGGTACTACAGATCTATTTTGTGTAACAGGCTAGCATAGTTACCGTACTTCTCTGGAAAATGAAATTAGAGTTTTTCCATTGTGTGGAGCTATGATATACCAGTATAAACTGGAAGTAAAAGTAATCTCAAAAGCTTCATTTTAATTAAGTCTGGGGCAGAAACGAGAGAGCAGCAACAGCTGTTGTTCAGGAGTTTTTGCTTGTCTACTGATTTACTGGGGAGAGGAGGATTAGTTAAAGCTTTCAAGCATACTTATAATACCCAAATATTTGCAGTAACAAAATTGTACTGTGTGACACAAATGAAAATCAAAGATGAAACTGAAATCAAACCCACAAACCTCCAAACTACACTACTTGTTATCTTGAGGAAGACAGTGTATCTAATTTCCCACCATTTGTGTCCTGGAGTGCATGTATCCTTATCTTCCATGAAAGTCAGGGAGGATTATGTGATGGTTACAGAGTTTGCTGAAAGTAAAAGTGTTAAGCAAAACCACATCCTTATTCACACGCTAGCAGAACTCTTCGGAAGGGGTGGGAAAATCCTAGGCAACTTAAAAAGTTGATATTGGAGAATAATTGATTTTTCAACCCTAAACAACATTTGCTTCTAGAAACCTACAGCATTTTTCAATTTAGTTTAGTTTGCTGTCTTGACCATGTCATGATGCAGCTTTACGGATTGGTTGGAACAGCATGCATCAGTTATAGGCAACAGAATCAATAAGCAACCATTATAACAATTTACCACATGAGTATTTAAATCTATCTGACTCAATTGCAAGAGCTCATGAAGTGGCAGATATCTCTCCACCTCCAATTAAAAACTCTATATATTTTTTAAATTAAGATAGGGAGGCAGCTGACACAGGAATATACAGTTCTTCCCTCCTGATAAATGGGACACTAGAATAAACAGCAGGGATCATTATCAGCATAATTATTTATTTAATAACATTTATATATATACAACTTGATTGTTAAAAGCAACAACAACCTCAACATGGTTTACAAACATAGGGAGTGTTCCTGTTAACATTTGTCCAGAACACAGAAGTCATTTTCTAGAATCTTTAATTGCATTTGTTTATTTTATCTATTATAATGATTTTTACCACCACCCCTTGAAGCAAGTTCCCATGCCACATAAGTAAATTTGGTTGGGGTACTTAAAAAAAATAAAAAATCAATCCATTCATATCTCACCCTTCCTCCTGAAAGAACCCAGGGTGGCTCATTATCATTATTATTTAGGACCCAAAGGAAAGGGGGGGGAACCCCATTGAATAAATAAAGCTACCATTGTTGTCGTTATTATAATTTCAATTGGCATTATTTCAGTCCCAAAAATAACTTCTTAAGACTAATAACCAACAATAACAATATATTTAGTCTCCAGGCAAAAACATTATTTTCTCATCAAACCTTTGGCTTTTAATTAATTACCTGAGGCCCTTTTGCATGGGTGGGATGTTTTAATCCATTTTTTAAAAAACAGAATTGTCTTTATTTTTATTTTTCCCCATATGCTTAAAATATTACAAGTCCGTTTGTGCTGCCATGGCAAAAAAGCAGCTAATAAATTTAATAAATAAGAACGATCATACAAGATGGCTTACAACAACAGTAATAATACAATGTGATAAATGAAAAGGGGTGGGGGGGGTCTGTCCATCCCCCATAATTTAGATGGGAGTGTGTAGAGGATTAGCCAAGAGATTAATGGGGTGACCCCCCCTACAATGGGGTGGGGACAAGGGTTAATAATAGGTGGGGGCTCCGAGGTAGAACACTTTTACACCGTAAAATATGTGGAGGCGGATATCCATGAGGCGACCTCCCCATTATTAATGGCTGGGGGGCTTCTGCGTGAGGCGGGCTGAGCCAATGTACACACGCCCTCCTGTATGGAGATGGAGGGTGTGTGTACGTATATATATATACAGTATATATGTGTGTGTCAAAGACGCTATTTATTGAATAATATGAGCGGGGAAGAGAAGAGACGATGAGACCCCCCCCCCATTCCCACAATTTATTAACTCTGAAGCGCTGGGGGAGGAAGCAAGAAACCACCTGACCAGCCCGTGACCTTGAGCCGCGAGGGGGGGAGGAAAGAGCGCGCGCCAGAAAGAAACGGCTCTCCTCTCCCCCCCCCCCGTCGCTCGACCTTCCCGCCACTTTTCACCCCTCCCTCCCCGGCAGCTTCCCCCTCACCTGAGGAAAAAAAGGCGGGAACGGCCCCCTTGGGCTGAGAAGGCGCTGAGGCGGAGGCGGCCGCCGCTCCCCCGCCGCAGCAGCAGCAGCGCCCCGGCCGCCATCTTGACCACCTCAACCTGAGGGGACGGCGCGGGGGAAAAGGAAGGGGAAATGGGGGCGCAGTGCCCCCCAGTAGCCACTAGAGGGAGCCTTTCCCCGCACCGGGAGGGACGGAGTTGAGGAGGGGGACGCGGAAAGGTTTCTCTCTCCCCCCGCCCCCAACGCCGCACATTTCTCCGACGAAGGTCTCAAAGGCGCAGCGCCATTAAGCTGAGGCGACTCTGGCCAAGGTGCAACCCCAGAACCTTGTTGGGGGGTTGAACAGTGTGACGGATTGAAAAATAAACAGTTTAGTTCCCCTCCAGGGGGACTGCCCTACGTGGATCCTAAAGTGCCATCTTGCTCCTCTTAGAACAATTTAAATGAATATGCTCTAATAGACCTGAGGAAAAGCCCCTTCTGAACATGGGCAGAGTGCATTTTTTGTTCACAAAGGGCACCACAGACTAGGCCTTCAGAGGGCTCCTGTGGATGTGTAGAGTGCGCTCACCCCCACCAAAAGAAAGCATTTTTTAATGTAATTATTTTTCAAATCCAATGCAAAACATGTAAACCATTGCAGATTAAGGAACCGGCACTTGTATACCATTTGCACAAAAACCTCAGCCTGAGGAAAGGCTAAAGAAGACATTCTGGTCCAGAACAAAAGTTTGCATAATCCATAAATTTGGAAAGACATTGGATACCCTTCTGTCAGATTTGTTTGTAGATTTAATAATAGATGCCCAGCCAGCTGTAAATGCATGTTTTGTGTTTTTCTCCAGCCATGCACAATGTTTGCATACTTTTTTCAATTAAGGCAATTATCATACTGATGCCAAACTTAGTGTGGGCACCCGATCAGCATAGCCACAGCAGTCCACACTATTAAACTAGTACAGCAAGTCAAAATGGCCCCTATTTGGCCCTTCCAAAATTTGCAGGTAGCTGCTGCAACAAAGAAGTATCATATTAAAGTCTTGCTTTGTAAATCTGTACTCTCCACTGTAATAAATTTAGTAAAAAGTATTTTTAAAACATCTAATTTTTGATAGATTTCCTCCCCACCTCCCAGAAGAACCCATTTGTTTTTTAATACATGGAACAGGGAAAAAAAATGAACATTTCCCCACCGGCTTTGCATCCAAGTTCTATACATGTGAATGAAACTCTGGCCAGAAAAATTATAGCCAGCTGACAACTAATTCTGAAATTGGGACAATATTGGTTTGGGAAATCAAGTTTTCTTTTTGGGTGACCCCCTGATAATCCACATTTCTAAAAAATAAAAAACAACCAGTAAAAGCAAAATTACTCCCATGAAATTAATTTTATTAGGAGAATACAGTATTGTATTATATTCAACAGGCTTACTTAGATGTAAATTCCACAGAGATCAATAGAATTGCCTGTCTTTACCAGGGAGTGAATTCCATTGAGCTCAGTAATACATTAAAGTAAGCATGTTTAGGATCAGGCAGTTGTTTTTGTAATACTTTCAGCCCAAGTGTTGTATAATTATAGTATAATTATTAGGATTATCCTATATAGTTTTATGATAATGTAGTGTGCTGGGTTGGGAACATTTAATAGAAGAGCAGAGCATAATATATCATTTTTACCAGCAGAAAGTGCCCAACATTGCTTGGGAATTATAAGAAACCAAAAATATCAGTAGTTTTGAAACCAGTACATAAGAAATAGCCTGCTGAATGAGGCCCTTGGCACATTTAGTCCAGCATTCTGTTATCACAGTGGCCAACGAGATGCCTATGGGAAACAGGCAAGCAGAACATGAGCACGAGAGCCCTCTCCCTCCCTTGAAGGGGCAAAGTCCTCTGGGATGTTTGCCTGTACAAGCACCACTAACAGGAATCTGAGCTGTGCAAGAACATAGAAGAGTGTTTGCTAAGGTTACCAGATTTTTTTCAATGAATCCAGGGATACTTTTCAACTTCAATGGATTTTGTATGGGGACTGATTTGTAAATCTGGGGACTGTCACTGGGAAATGGGGACATTTGGTAATCTTAGTGTTTGCACCATTTCCATTCTTGCGCATATCCCAGGGGACTATTCCCATGGATCAGATCAGTCTTCCACTGTTTTTAATGGTGCCCAGAAACTTACACCCAGAGGCAATTCTCACAGTAGTGCCTGATCCTAAACGTTGTCTCATACCAGCTGAAGTGTTTGAAAAGGTGGTGGGCTCCATCTACCCTGTGCCATAGGAGCCAACTCCTAGGGGCCAAGGTCCCTTCGCCCCCCATAAAATATTTGAGGGGGCTGGAGCCCCCAAAGTTAATGGGCACTGCCATTCAAATGGTGTGTGTGTGTGTGTGTCACATCTTGTGATCAATGATGTGGGGTGGGGCTTACCTGTCCGTCCGTCCCCCAATATTGGATTTCACTGCTTTGCTGCACTGTGAAGTATTAAACATTGTGTATTGTTTTTGGATACCATCAAGCTGAGAGGCCACTTATAAATATTGTAGCAGACCAACTTACATTCACTTGAAAGATTTTAAAAGTAAACTGAATGTTTCTGTTGTCCCGTGAGCAGATTAATTCAAGTTTATTATGAATCATGACAATTTCAGAAAGAACACATAAACATTGTGTTACATACAAGCTCATCCACAGAAGCACATGGAAAGTCTCAGATTATGCTGCCTACCCTGTCCTCACCCCCATCATTTATCTGAAGAAGAAACAGTTAATTCTTGGAGCTTTTCACTAAGGTAACTGGTATCTCTATCGGTCAGGTTTTCTGAGTCCGTTACACTTTCCAGTAGCCTACTGCCTGCACAAGGCTTCCCCGTCACTGGATCAATGATTTTCCCAACCTTGTACACAATCTCAGCCAGTTCGTGTTTCACGTGCTTGCTCCTCCGTTCGGGCAAAGCTTTTAAGAGAACGATGTCTCCCTCAATGCACTGCTGCTGGGGGTCATGAGCAAAGTATGTTTTCCGCTTGTTATAGAACTGTGAGAGAAGAGAGGAAAGAGCACATGGATTATTCAGTGGTAGGCAAATGATTCAGAGAAACCTGAGTGCCGGCGAGACTGAACTGGGATAGAATTTAGCTGCTCAGCCCTAACATTGACTGAAGTTCTCCATCATACTGGTGTAACTCAACCCCAAAGGAAAGTTTACCTTTAGCAAGTAAGGATCCAGCACCAGCCGTGTCACTCTCACTTTGGCTGTTTTACGCATTTTAGTCCCAATGACTTTCCCTATGATCCATTTTGCGTGGACAGCACCACGCAATGCAGACATGGCTCAGTTACGAACACCCTGAGAAGCAAGAACAAGGTATCATTTTAACAGCCAGTGGCAAAGTACAGCCAAGCCAACACACCTATTATTATTTAAAATAACAAGCCTACCTAGATATTTAGAATGCTGATGTGTTTTTAGTTCATTACTGGGTTTAATTTTCTGAATGTTTTAATTGTTTTTACAAATAATTTTGTTTTATTTTTATAAACCTATTTGATGGGTTTTTTAAAACAATCAAACAGTAAATAAATTTCATGAAATAAACAAATGAAACAAATAATAAATGTATCTGTTTGGCTTATTTCCTACCCTTCACCACCAAGTCCCAGGGCAGATCACAGCAATTAAAAAACATAATATTAAAAACACTTTAAACAACCTTCTTCAGAAACAGCATTTCCCCTTACATTCTAGCCATAAGAAAGGCAGAGGAACACCCCAGGTTTGCTAGTCTTGAAAACCCAGGCTCCCCTAAGTATTAATGCTAGATGCTAGTAAAAATGCTTTAAGCCCAGTGCACATCAACGCCACATACTAATTGAGAAAGCAGGACAAAATTGTTGCTGTGGAAAAGCTGGTACTGCCAGTGTGTGATGCCTAGATCTTAATCATGAGAAAGGTGTGTTGCAGTACTTTATCTTGATGGCTGTGCTCTACTTCCACTGTCAGAGGCAGTGATGCTTCTGAATACCAGTTGCTGGAAACCACAAGAGGGGAGAGTGCTGTTATGCTCGAATCCCGCTTGTGCGTTTCCCAGAGCCACTGTAAGAACAGAATGCTGGACTAGATTGCCCACCCCCCTTTGGTCTGATCCAGCAGGTTCTTCTTATGTTGTTAACAGATTTATTGTTAGATTTCAGACCTGGAGGGCCACGAACTCCCCGGCCCTTGATAAAGTATCTCACAAGCAGGGATGAGAAAATCCCTCTATGTCTGAGATCCTGGAAAACTGCTGGAGAATAGGTAATGCCACAAAATGATGAACAACCTGACACTACATCCACTGTTTTGTTTTTTAAAAGTTACTAGTCAATAAACAAAAAAGCATTGCAGCTGACAGTTTAGGGCTGCTGCATTGGCACACAGCTGTCTGTCAAATATATCCCCATTAAGTGACCTTGCTCCTGAAAACTTGGGGTGCAATTTACGCTTCCACCATAGGATGAAAAAAAGGTGAGAGGAAATTAGGGGGGTTGCAAGCGGACTGGATGAAGAGAAGGAGCCCTCCTGCCTCCCAGAATTATAGGGGAGTTTAATTTTAGAGGAGCAGAGGCGGCCTTCCCTCTCCACAGCCCTACGTGAATCTCCACTAGATCGTCCACCTCTGCCTTTGTACCCCAACCAGGTCTCTGCCCCGCAGAGACAGTAAAGCTCCCCACCCCAGGCGCCCTCCGCCCCATAAATCCGTTGGAAACTCTTACTGGGTCTCTGTCTCCAGGCTGGAAACGGGAGCCGGGGCCAAGAGAAGGAAAAGGCGGAGCCAGTAGCGGAAGTTCCGCATAGCCCATCTAGGAAAGGAGAGTGGTGTGTGTTTGTAGCCTCCGAGGCCCTTCTGGGATTTGCCTGCGTGGTTTAGCGGGTAAAGCACCGGCGTGGGGAGCAAGAGGATTTTTGGTTCGAGGACCAAGCCGGGGTGACGCTAATAGCTTCTTGTATTCGGTCTCCATTAATCAGCCGCATAACAAAGTATATCTTATTCTTCTTAGAGTTGCATTAGTTCATTTGATAGTAGCATCAGAAATAAAATAAAATTAAAATGGTCATTC